CAAACACTTTCTCTGCAAGTGATATCTGCTCATTACGCTCTGGATCTCGAGGTAAATCCACTCCCCTTTTCCATGACAGGGCAAGAGTGTACAAAAATCCAGACTCTGGGCTTGTGGGCTGTGGTTTCTCTTGAATCCACAAAACTCAGAATAGGCTTTCCACTCCGTTTTTAGCATAACAGCATGTTTATTTAGCTCTTTGGCTGCAGCTTTAAAGCCATTTAATGTAATGTAAACAAGAACATTTTGTTTGTAATTTGCTAAATGTCTTACAGCCTGACTGTGTCTCCAATTAGGAACTTAAGGTTCATTTAGTAATTTACATCTGGTTTTGATTTAAGGTGACTTTCCTTTTCCACTTAGGAGCTGACTTTCCGTGGCTAAAGAGGACCCAAGAACCCTTTGTAACTCTTTGGACCAACACTTTCTGCTTCAAAGTGGGGCAGCCTCTTTTATTTTGTAGGGTTTGATTTCTTCTGTATTGTCATCGTGAACCTAGAGACATATTGCAATGACCAGAATCAGAGAGTTCAGTAATAATGGAAAGAGACAGGAAATTTAGCTGGAACTCATAAAAAAGATGCTGAGGGTTGCTAAAACTCCAAGGAGCCTAATACAAAGGGCGTGATGTTGTTAAGTTATTATTTTTCTTTCTCTGTAGGCTTCAGTCAGTGAAAGATAAGTAGCAGAGACCCACATCACAGCAATACTTATGTTTTATTTCCCTTTCTCCATCTGGTGCCTTCCAAGCAACTTAGTATGCTTCTGAAATGGGCTCTCCATTGTCTTACGAGTCATTAGCATTTAAAACCCCCGCTTGGAATCTCAAACACAATTCTGTTCCCATTCCAGATTCAGGACCATCTTCCAAAATATTAAAATGAAGAGATCTCTGATAAGTGGAGTTTGGGAGGGGGGAGCTTTGGTAGGAATGATTCATAAGGGAGGTTTTGTGCTCCTTGAGGATTTTTATCGCTTCTTTCAGCTTCCTTTTGATTTTTCTTTGAAAGATTCCTCACAGAAACCAAAGTACATATAGTTTCTCACTCACTATGAACTCTGAAAATAAAGACCTGCCCTTCTGCAGAAGCTTCCCATTCCTGCCCATACTCCACAATGGGGAAGCACATGACATAAACACACAGCAGCTCTGTCAGTCACCTCCCCTCTGGCTGTCAAGAAAACATTCAATTGCAATCTCACTAATAGCTGTTTTTCCTGAAATATTGTAATTTTCGGAGCCCCCAATAAGTCATCAATAATTTTGTCCATTTTTCCCAGTTTGTGTTTATATTTGTAGCTGTTCATAATTGTGGGCTATTATGACAACAGGATTTGTGAACAATTGTGGCATGTGAAATCTTAGCCTTGCACCCAAACCAGCTGCCTGCACAATGCCAGTACCATCACGTGGGTTTGCTCTGAAACATGCACATTTGTCCAAAGTTTTGAAGTTTATTCATCTGCCTCGCATCTGCTCCAGGAATATTTTCTCAAAAATACAGAGCATTTTTGTGCGCTCCCCAATTTGCTTATTAAATGAGAATAAAATACCATGAATTTAAGTTTGAAACAGATATTATAGTATGTTGGCACAATGAGTCCCCATGAAGGGAGAGAACAGGTGGCAGTACACCGTCAGAACACTTCGGGATAGTCTGTGGAAATTTTCTGGATGCCCACCTGCATCCTGGGCAGGTGCTTGCTTTGTTGGTAACTCTTGCAAACCGTTAAGGGAAGGGCTACCATGGACCAGTAGAGCAGTGGCCCAGAAGTGTCCCTTCAGTTAGCACTGTCCAAATTTCATTCATTTGACCCTCCTCTGTTTGTCCGTGGGATGGGCCTGCATCCTATGCATGGCTCAAACCATACCTTCCAGCATGACCTACAGTCTTGCTCTCAAACAAAATCATCTTTTATGAGGAAAGGACAGCCTATGTGGAACTCCTGTGAAGTCAGAGGGGCACAGGGACAAACCATTTTAGGGTGACCCAGACTGCTCCTAGCAATATCTTATCTTGGTAACTCTCAAAACAGGTGCTCAAGTTTTAAAATACTTTTATTTTTATAAGGAAAAAAGAGTTATTTCTGTCAAGGCATTGTATAAGAAAATCTTGGCATAATTTTTTTAAGCAACTGGATTTTGATTATGAAATTGATTGATAATACCTAATGAGTTATATAGGTCAACTATTACAGAAGTTCATCCTTTATAAAATGAGTTTTCCCCCATCAAACACCAACTGTTATATTTTCATTGACAGAGAAAGCAAAGATGGACTCATTATAAGTTACTTACTAAAGGAGAAATATAATGAGAAAGAGAAAGAGGGAAATATTTTGTCATATGTGTGCAATTAAAAATCATGAATATTATGTCATAATTTCAATCATATCTTCATTAGGATGGCTCAGACTCAATTTTGAAAGCCAGAATGGGACAATGGGAGTAATTTCCCTGTTTAATATTACAACTGAGAGTAGTGAGTCCTTTATTTTTGGGGTCTGTAAATGCTTCACATGGTCAGACAAAAAGAATGTGGAAAATTATCTTAATATTCCCCTCTAGCCATATTAAAAATAAAAACCCCATGTTGAAGGCATTCAGTTAATTTTGTGTGTGGAAGCCAAAATAAAATGTAGAGGAAAAAATAAAAAGCCTTATTGTGATAGAATAAGAAACCTGCTGCTTCATATTTACTTGCCTGCAAGAACTACCTAATTTTCCTTGTAAGAAAATTATTCTTTTCCACCAGGAACACAGTATAGGCACTTATTTTTTAATATTGATAATGTGATGGACCAATCATGGGCTAGGGAAGGTCTTTGTGACCTCCCTCTTTTAAAACCACTGGTAATGAATGTGGGAGTAGTTAATAAAAGGTAACTGGGGTCAGGGAGGTGAATAAGAGAAGTGAGATGGGCAGCAGTGGCTACTGATGTTTCTCCAAATGAAGGTTTGGACAAAGGAGAAGCTAAGTGGAACACATGAGGCTATGAACAGAGCTCCAGTGCAGTCTAGTGGTCTGGGCAAGGGAGGGGGGCTGAGCCTGCACAGATAACCACAGTTGCTACACACAAGCCCTAGGGAAGGGAATCGATTTCTGGATGCTTTCTCCAGGAAATTTCATCTTGCAAAGCAAAAGAGCCTATGGCTTTGAAGGTGCATATTTGAGAATATACAGAGGGCTTATTGGCACAGAGAACATCCTCATAGGTGGCATCACAGAGGATCCAGAGAACAGGGAAGGGGTGGGGTTCCTGGTTGATGTGCACTTGGTTTCTCTGTCAGTGATGTTCTGCTGAGCGGAGGAATGAAGTCACTAAAATTCCATCCTGCACGTCCAGCATCAATTGGGAACCACACCTCCTATTTACGAGTGCCAGAGCAAACTGATCTGTGTCAGGATCGAAACCAGTGTCCAAACCTGAGACAGTTCTACTAGGTTTTAATTAGAATCATATAACACAATGTCCACCACCCTCTTAGTAGGGAAGTGGCTTCAAGATAACACTTGCACACAGAGTTCCACCCGGCAGGCCTGTGCTTTCCCAGGATGGCATTCCCTCAGCCTGGCAATCTTGAAAAGGACATAAGAAAAAGTACAGAGACCTCAGACTCTAGAAGATGGCTTTGACTTACAGAAAAAAATGGGGAAGAAACTGAGGAAGCAAGTTCTGTTTCCTTAACAACTGGTTTTATCATTGCCGCTGTCACTGGTTTTCTAGGGTTAGGAAAGAAATGTAAGTTGAGTGACAAGTTCTAGTCACAGCAATTCTGTGTACTAGTCAGGTAATCTTCGACAAATCACTCAACGCAACAGAAGCCTCAGATAAATCACTCAACCCAGTGCCTAGAATAGTACCTGGGACCAGAGTGCTCAAGAAATATTTATTAAGTAAATAAATGTATATATTTAATTTATCTGGCCCCACTTCATAATATGCAAAATTTGGGTAATAATTTACCTGTATATCTACAAGTATTGAGTAAAACAATGTAAAGGATGCAAAAAGTGTAAAACACTATACACATTATAACTGTTGATATACTACAGACCCGCAATATATAGGTTCTCATACATGCAAAAATAAGTCCAAGGTTTTCCAAATTTTATATACTTTAATGGACATGATGAGGAAAGGTTAATTCTCTATTAAGAATTAAATATGAGACTAATATATCATTAATGCAATTCAGTATTCCGCAATGGCTGAAGCTTCATCCAAATTATTTTTAAAGACTTATTTTAATGATACTGCTTTTCAATTTTTTCTTTGGGACAATGAAATTTTTGGTGGTGACAATGGCCATCTACTCCCTGGTTTAGAAACATGACATTAATATTGCTTTGTCCTTCCTGAGACCTTCTGGTTTACTTGTGCTGTGGCTGTGATGTCTCCTGGGCCCTCCCTAAGCAAGGTCCTCAATCATACCACAGCAATCCACAAGAGAAGAAGAAAACCAGGCATCTGGTCCCATTTAACACAGCCTAGAAATATGGTATAAATATATATGGGAGATTGAATAACAAACCTTGGTGGTCTTTAGCGAAGGGGTAAGGGGAGAAACCCTTGAATTTGAGGTTCATTTAGCAAAGAGGAAAGAGGGTTTTGATGACAAAAGGAAAATAAGTGCTGTAGAGATGTGTGGACAGTTTTCAAAATACTTTTTGGATTTTTTTTTTTTTTCAGTCTTTATGATCACATTGGCAACTTAAGGAATGATGTAATCCTGGCTGGGATATGTGAAAGTCCTGCCAACAGTAACTACACTATATAAACTTTGGAACAAAGGAACTAACATGCTATTTGTGGAGGAGCAATAAAGGAGGATAACATCATGGGAACGTCACTAAAGACTGGTGCTGGTGGGCACAGTCTCAGCCTGGGTTCTGCAACCTGAAGACTTCCCCGAAGTCCTCAGAAGTTGTTGTTTTAGAGTGCAGACACTGTCTCCCCTCTCCTGTATTCCCACTCCATTTTGACTCCCTTTTTACCTGTTTTTGCTCTTCTCCTAAACCGTCCCACATTGAAGCCACAATTTTAGAGACTTCACCAAAAGTAGCATTTGGATTTTGGCCCTTGATGGCAGCCTGGGTATCACGAAAGAATAACGCGTAGGCAGACACAGGTTTTTGAGGCTCATTAGGGTCCTTCTTCTTCTTTTTTTTGGGAGTTTTTGGCTTTTTCCCCATATCAGAGGCAGGCCGCTTCTCTCCACCATTAATCTGAAATGGAAATAAAAACAGAATTATAGAGAAATTGGGAAAACTCGAGGCCAAGTCATACTGTTGTTTTCCTGAGACTTAAACATGTGCACTCACCCACACACATCACATAAACACAGGCCAGCCTGATGGAGACTTGATTTTGTTAATGTTTTTCCAGATAAAACTGCAAAGTTCATGCAGTCTTCATATTCATCCTTCTCCCAGCTTAATTTAACAGCTTAAAAAAATTTGTTCTTCTGGATATATACCTAATAGAGGAATTGTAGGATCAAATGGCAGGTCTATTTTTAATTCTTTAAGTGTTCTCCAGATGTCTTTCTAAAAGGATCATAGTAGTTTGCAGTCCCACCAGCAGTGTAGAAGTGTTCCCTTTTCTCTACAACCATGCCAGTATCTGTGATTTTGTGATATGGGCTAGTCCAGAAGACCAAAAATCACACTACAATAAAGATATCTGTATCAGAATGTTCATTGCAGCCCAATTCATAATTGCTAGATCATGGAAGGAGCCCAAGAGCTCATCGATTCACGAATGGATCAATAAATTGTGGTATATGTACACCATGGAATACTATGCAGCCATTAAGAAAGACGGAGATTTACCTCTTTCATGTTTACACGGAGGGAGCTGGAAAATATTCTTCTTAGAAAGTCTCCCAAGAATGGAAGAAAAAGTATCCAATGTACTTAGCCCTACTATGAAACTAATTTATAGCTTTCATAGGAAAGCTATAACTCAATTTTAGCCCAGAAATATGGGGAGAGGGGAGAAGAAGGGGAGGGGAAGGGGGAGGGTGGGATTACACCTATGGTTCATCCTATAAGGGTACATGTGAATCTCTCTAAATGTAGAATATAAATGTCTTAACACAGTAACTAAGAAAAAGACATGAAGGCTATGTTAACCAGTTGGATGAAAGCATTTCAAATTGTATACAGAAACAGTACACTGTACCCCATGATAGTATTAATGTACACTGCTATGATTTAATAAAAAAAATTAAAAAAAAATTTGTTGACTCTTTTTACATTATTGTTATACTATTAAATATTATTCCTTAAATCTCCTAACTTTTTAAATCTTTAATTATAATTGTGAAAGCAGATTTCTCTTATAGTAACTCCAATGAAGGAATAATCTAACTTTTTTTTTCTAAGGAGTTTATTCTTGTCTTCCTAATTATGAGTTTAAAAGCATGGATGCATTATTTCCAAAAAATAATGTCCAATGGTTTTTGACATTACATGACTATACATGTAGGTCTATGGAATGCTGGGACAATCTAGCAATACTTATGGGTTTAGAGAAAGGCATAATCTAGGCCCTACATCAGTGTTGTCCAGCGGAACTTTCAACAGTGATGGGAAAGTTCTCCAATCAGGACTATCTTACATAGTAGCCACTAGCCTTAGTCACTCCAGCATACCTGAAATGTGGCTAGAGTGACTAAGTATCTAAATTTTACCTTTAAATTTAAGCACCTACATGTGACTAACTGGCTACCATATTAGAGATAGCATCTCCAGAAACTAGCTTTCAGAGATTTCTAGAACAGCTTTTTACTTAGTTTCAAAGTAGATTCTATTTGTCCCATTGTCCTCAAGTATGAGTATTTCGATTAATTTTAATTGTTATACAACTGGGGAGAAGTACACTGAATGTATTTCAGACATCTTTGAATATTATCTTTGTTATTAATTAGATGTGATGTCACTTCATCCACCTCTATAAAAAAAGGATTGGCTAGGACTCCTTTCCAACTCTAAAATTATGAGTCTATATAGGTATGAAGTAGTGCTGTGTGTGAAAACTCCTTTCCACTGGTTTCACCCACCCACAGAGTCTATGAACCCTGTCTCCTGACAGAGTTGTCACTATCAAAGCAGTGTCTGCATCCTCGCCTTCTAGTGTTAGATGAGGTATTAGTGTAAAAATAACTGTCACCATAGGAATAGAAGCATGATACACTGAGGGGCCTCTGGGTGTGTTCTCAGGGGGTCTAGCTTCAAGACCTCTCTGTACTATTTCTGCTTAAATTAATTTTTCTGGGCCTCTGTTTCACCTACTGTAAAACTGTTATAGTATCCTCTTATGATTACTAAGATGGTATGCTAATATATTTTTAAACCTTTAAAAGAGTATTCAAATATTAATTATGACGTGGCAGAAACTTTCAAAATAATTAATGGAATGAACAGAAAGACTTTTAACATTAATATATGATAACTAATGATCAGGTTGGATGATATGCCCAAGCACCAAAAGGAGATAGAAAAAAAGCTAAGTGAATTCTTTGTCTTTATTGAGAAAGATATTAAAAGATTATCATTCTGAAATTGTCCACTGGAGCAGATCAAAGAGCCCCATGGGGACAGGACGCTCTGACCTGACTTCACAAGCGAATATAGATCAAGACCAAATGCTAACTTCCTTGGGATGTAGCTGACAGGTGGTCATGTAAAATTATTGGCCCCCATGTAAACCTTTGAGGGGATTAGCATTCAGGTACTGAGCTGATACTAGACAAACTGATAGAATAGCTGTAAATTTAACACATAGGAATCTATGACCTAGAATGATGGTTTTCAAATCTGGTTGCAACGTAAAATCACTTGGAAAGCTTTTAATACTCTGATGCTCAGGCCTTACTCTACACAAATTAAATCAAATACCTTCGAGTGGAAGAATGTCCCCATCACCCTTCTCAGCTCTATTCTTCCAACTGGCATTTAAATACCTTGAGAGATAAACAAACAAGCAAACTGTCTCTGTGCCCAACAAATAGCCATGTCTGTCCCCTTTTCATAAACTCTTCCAAGTGGTTGTGCTGGCCTTGGGCAGCCACTGTAGCTTCCTTCAGTTTACTGTTACCACATTTAGTTCTTGATAAGTTCACCAATGGCCATAAAATGCTAAATATGAGGAGTTTTTAAGTTTTCCCCTTACTTGATTTCTCACTGAGATCTCCCTTCCACTGATTCCATAGCATCACTTGCTGTGGGTTTTACTCCTACCTTGCTGTGTCCAGAAAAATTTTGTAAATTCCTTCTCCTCTTCTACCTGGCCATTAAAAGGTACCATTCCTGATTTTCATTTTATTTTACTTTTTGCTGTAAACCCTCTTTTCTTGTGGATCTGTACTTAGGTAATCTCCTAAGTACACCAGGTTTCCATTACCATTTGTGGGTAGATGATTGTCAAGTTCATGTTTCCCTGAGTTTTGAACACATAGAAGATTCAACTGCTATTTGACATTTCTATTTGCAAGCCTTGGAGATGCCTCAAACTCAAGTCAACCTCTGTATGTTTCCATTCGTAGCATGTATGAATGCTTGTAACTATACAATAATGTATCTGGGTGTTAAATCTTCTCCCTTCTCAGACCATAAGTGCTGTGAAGATGGGTTCCACTGACACATAGTACATGCTTAACCTTGCTATCACAACAAATAAATTATAACATGAAATAATATTGTTAATATAATATAATATATGATAATATTACATTCATTATCATAAAATGTTTATTAAAGAGAAAAATAAGTCAACAAGGTCCATAATGAAGAATATTAAAAATGGAGTAGTCAAAGAGTACAAACTTCCAATTATAAGATGAATAAGTTCTGAAGATCTAAGAGTGACTGAGTTAATACTATATTGTATATTCAAAATTAGTTAAGAAAGCAGATGTTAAAGGTTCTCATTACAAAAAGGAACTAGATATGATAATTTACTTGATTGTGATAATCATGTCACCATGTACATGTATATAAAATCATCATGTTGCACACTTTATGTACAGTTTCATTTGACAATTATACCTTAATAAAGCTGAAAAAAAAAAAGAAATGATCCTGATATCGGAGGGCATACTTCATCAAAGATTGGGAATATTTAGAAATAGGCAACAAAGTGCGGAGACAAATGAATGCTTATCCATATGGAATATGTAGTCTTGCCTAGATTCATCTTAAATCTTAATTAAGAAATTAATGAAATTAACTATTTCAGTTTTGACACACTGAAATACTCATGATTGCATACTATATCAATCTTTTTGAAAAATAGTCAAATGTCAAACCTAAAGATAAATTTCTTATCATGCAATGTAGATGTAAGAGATTTGCCCAAATTATTTAAATAGTTTCTGTGATGGTTAATTTCAGCACCAACTTGATGGGATTAAGGGATACCCAGGTAGCTGGTAAAGCATTATTTCTGAGTGTATCTGTGAGGGTGTTTCCAGAGGACACTGGCATGTGACTTGCTGGTTTAAGTGAGGAAGATCTACGCTCAATGTGGGAGGCCATCATAGAATTGGCTGGGGCCTGGATAAAACAAAAACAAGAGAAAAGGCAATTTTCTCCCCTTTTCTCTCTCTAACCCATATGTTCTCTTGCTCTTTTGCTTTCCACCATGGTATGACATAGCAAGAAGGCACTCACCAGATGTGAGCCACTTGACCTTGGACTTCCCAGCCTCTAGCACTGTAAGAAATAAATCTAAATTCTTTATGAATTGCTCAGTCTCAGATATTCTGTTATGGGAGCACAGAATGCACCCAGAGAATTTCTCTCATCTACTGTCCAAAATTGTGGGCTAACCACTGATCTTCATGCTATTTCCTTTTTAAAATTGTATTTGTACAATCTAGCACAAGCTTCAAATCTGCTGGATGTGTGACTCTCTGCTGTAATGGAAAGAGGATGTTGTCCTCCTGCATTTGACAATGAGGTCCTGTTTTCTAGGGACAACCTGGTGAAGCGGGAGAACATGCAGTAAGCCCGTAAGAAGCTCAAGTGTATCAAAACCACCAATTACCATTTGAGGCAATGTATGGCAACCCTATAGGAAACTTTAAATAATTTCATATAACCAACCCTTTTGGCTAGTTATCCAGAAACTTTATCTGTCCTCCTGGTGTGTCCTTGAGGATGAGCTGAATGTAGTCTTGCTCAGTATCAGAGTTCCCTATAGTGGGAGCAAGCATTTCATG